TTTTTCATCTCATAAAACAAAAAACAAAAAAAATAAAAAAACTCAATCCCAAACCACACCTTAAACAGGGAGACTGACTTCACAGGTCATGGTCTGCATGGAGTTGTGATGTATAAACACTCTCCTGAAACAGTAAAAATATGGTGTTCAAAACAATATTTAAAAAAGAAAAAAGAATAGGTGGTCCACATTTCAACCCATGTACTGTGAAGCCCAAACAATCAATTTTTTGAGTATATTTCTGTATTCCAAATCTGTAAATGTATCATTGCTCCTCCTGAAAGCAGTGGACAATCAGAGGAGACATCATTGTCTTGTGTTATTAAAGCAACTCATTACTTCACATATTTCCATTTATGCTATGGTCCTGTTTGGGTTCCATTACCCAAAAAAATAAAAAAAAGAAAAAAAAAAAGCCCTAATTTATCGAGGTGAACCCAAGACCAATTCAATTTATTTGGTAAGGAATCAACTTCTCTCCCATTGTAAATAAGTCTAATTTGGAAAGCTAATTTTTAACTTTTTAACTCATTTTAGGTCACATTATCTTTTATATTTTTTACACAAAAAGGATAAAAAAGTCAAAAAAGCTAAAAAGACAATTTTTAACCAACTTCCCAAATCTGTTCAGTTGGGTCCATTAGCTTTATTACATATTTCTCTTTAATAATTCAAATTGTTCATCTTATAAATTAATATTTGTATATCATTTATTTTTTATTAAAAAATAGATGACAAGTATCTATTTTATTTACTATTTAAATTTGTTATTAGAGATTGAAGAATAACTTGCTATCAAAGGACTGATTTAAAAGACTTGAGCTCCTCACCTGGAGCGTGTAAGAAAACATTGAATAGTCTGGTACAGACTTGGAAATTTAATTTAGGCTTGACCATCAAGCCTAATCCAACTTCCATTAAATTTAATCCAACCAAATAGTTCTGGGACAACATATCCCAAGACTAATAGTCCGATTAATTACAATCACTTTTATCCAGTCCGTCCAAACATTATGATGTACTCAAAACAGTCTCCCATCATCTTATATAACATCAGAATATTTCACCAAAACGCTTCACTTCCTACGTTACTACTTTTTAAATATAACAGGACTCAGTTTGTTACATAAATATCCGTAAGGGATGAAATAAAATGACAAAATCTAGCCGGGGACAAATATCATTGCTCAATAAGGGAGAAGGGGGTATTACTAGTGAATGCAAGAGAGTATAGTTTTAACTGAATCTTATTGAATTAGCATTCCTAGCAATTTACTACAAACTGGTCAATTAATGGCACTATCTATCATACAACATGCAGTAATGCAAGTGTCTTCATATTACTGCCATACCTGAAGAGATCACAAACGAGTTAAATACTCTTTACTCTGTCTGAACAAAGTTCTCTACCAAAATGTTTTACTTAGTAGTTTTGCTTTCTCTAACTCAGATATGTCAAACTAATAATTACTCATTTTCTCCATATTTGGGAATAATATTACTTGATATGCTTCTCGAGCAGGAAGAGGAAAAACCGACTTTAAACTATACCCTCACACCCAGCAGCAACCAACAGAAATTAAAGAAAGGTATCTTTGTAATTACCTTCAGAGAAATTTTCTTTTCTGTGCTGTCTGTAGATACATTATATACATGATTTCGGTATATTTGGGAAAGTCACAAGAAGCAAATGGAAGCTCAAAACTGGCCTGCTCGGATGTCTCTGTCAAGGCGATCTGCATTTAGGGTCCCAGGAAGCTCTCTAAAATCCTCATTGAAGATAGAATATGCACTGCAGATATTCAGGATAAGCAAAAAGTAAGATAACTCTATAGTATTCGCCATATTCCTTGTTCAGCAAGAGGTGCTCTCTTTTGTATTGTTATTAAATTTTACATTTACAAGATCATTATGTTCACACAGACAAACAGGTGGAAGATAGGAGTGCAGGGATGGGCAACTAACAGTAGCATCAGACATTAAGGACATATCTACATAAAATTACACATCCCACTCAAGTTTTTTCAAAATAAAATTGATGATAGCACATTGACTGCATTACATAGATGAAAAATGGAGGGACAATGCATCATATGCGCTTTAATTAGTATATTAACTAACCACCAAGAATGTACGAACACAGAAACTGATCACTGAGCCAATTGATGATTGCATATGGTTCTGTGATTGGTTTCTGTGTTCCTAGAAGAATTGATTAACCACCTTCTATCAAATATAATATAGTATCTAATCATCAATTGTTGCACATACCTCATGTCACCATGCTGCCGCTTTCCAAGATTTAAGAAAATGATAGCAAAGCCCGTGGCTATTATCTGAACACACAGCAGTTCCAAGCAAGAAGTAAGATAATGGTTCTCAACTCTCATACAAGTAATGTGGTAAAAACTTTAAAACCGGCAAATCCAGTGATCTTCCTGTAAGCTTTAGGCCTCGTTTGGGAACAGGCTAATTTAGTAACTTTTTGGCTAATTGGCTAAAAAGGTAGGTAAAAAAAACTTGTATGTTTGGGATGACTTTTTGACTAATTACGAAAAGCTGTGCAAAAAGTAGAGAGAAGCCGTAATTGTTGACTTTTTGGTATGACTAATTGGCTAATTGGCTAATTTAGTAACTTTTTGGCTTTTTGGCTAAAACAGAGCCTTCCCAAACGAGGCCTTAGTAACCAGTAAAAACATGTTTTCTGCTAGAAAGAACTTCCCAACTAGAAGCCTTAGTTATCTATTTATTTTTTCCAGTGACACATTACAACCAGAGTTAGGAATGCATACACTTGAGAATGGATATAAGTAGTACTAATAGAAGATAAATTGAGAGAGAGAGAATAGATTGAGTTGAGATGGTTTGTGTGATAACCCAATCCGTGCTCTGCTTAATTATGCATGTGATTATGTGTTTGATATGAATTTAAAAGTTTGAATATGTGAATTATATGAATTTCGAATAATATCTGTTGAGTGTAGGAATATCTGTTGCAATTACAACTTTGAACTGAAATTGAAAGCCTTAGAGGCGGGATAAACAGAAACCGACTTCATATCTGTGATTAGCATGATTTATAGAGTTTAAGGTGAAATTTTGAAAAATTACAATTCATTATGATTAAATTGAAATTTTTGAGTTAAGTCATTTATGTGTTGGTCCCATTGTGTTCTTCATTGTTGCTTGAGAGCTCTAGAGAGTGCGTTAGAGAGAGGAACAAGAAAGCTAGGGATTAGAAGAGAATTTGAGTTAAGGTATATTAATTTACAATCTATGAAGCATGGACATTCCAAAATCGATGCCGTGGCAGTGTCCAACACGCAGACACACTGGGGACATGCGGACACGTTGGGGACACATACAGGACACGCCATCTGGCGTGTCCCTTTAATTTAATGATTTTTTGGAAGGGGACACGGCGGGGACATAGCGGGGACATGCGTGTCCATATTGGGACAAGCCATGGGACACGGCGGGGCTCATTTTTAAATTTATTATATTTATTTGGGATCAAAGTGTAATATTTAAAAAGTATAAATGAAAAAAAAAAACATAACATGTAAAGCCCTAATCGAAGAAATAGAGTTAGACATGCCCCTCTCTCCCTTAGTCGAAGACCTCTGAAGTCTCTCTCTCTCAATCGAAGCCCTCTGAAGTCGATCGAAGTCCTCCGATCCAGTCGTCTCAGTCACTATCTTAATCAATCCAGTCGTCTCAGACCTCCGATCCAAACGACTTCGAAGATAAGCCCCTCTCTCTCTCTCTCTCTCTCTCACTACTCTGCTCTAGACTGAGTAAATTGTTTTATTTTTTATTTTTTTATGCGTTTATATATATGTAATTTTACGTTTATATATCTAAAACTATATTTTTTTAAAAAAAAATTATAAATTTTTATATATATACAGTATGCAAATCTTTTTTCTTTTTTCTTTTAATCATTCTAATGTGCATATTAATTTATAATGGTTATAATTTATAGGAAATTTGTCTAGTTCAAATTCTGCCAATAGCACACAATCTTTTTTTTAATCATTCTAATGTTAATATTAATTTATAATGGTTATAATTTATAGGAAATTTGTCTAGTTCAAATTCTGCCAATAGCACACAATCTGCCTTTGATGTTGAAGATGATAAGCCACTGTGAAAATATGTAACTAGATTAGAAAAATCTAGTGCAAGAGTGGGAAATTATACTTTTCAATGTAACTTTTATCGGGCTACACAAAGGCTCATACACTATGGTAAAAGCCCATTCGATGCAAATTAAAAATCAAGGGATAGAAGTGTGTCCAAAGGTAACAAGTAAGGATAAAGCTGAATTTGAGAGAGTAATTGCAGAAGCAAAGTTGAAATTGAAAAACTCTAGGTTGAAGAAAGTCCCATTGCCTCCTCCTAGTTCAAGTGCATCATTAGGTTTATGTTTCAATGAACTAGAGGAGATCTATGGATCAAAAAGGAAGAGGTTAACTGCTATAGGGAGTGGAAGTAGTAACCCTGCTATGAAAGCATTTAACATTGGGGCTCGAGAACCATTAAATAATGAGATAGCTAAAATGTTTTATTTAGCAGGCTTGCCATTTCATTTGGCAAGAAATCTTTACTATGTTAGTGCATTTACTTTTGCTGCAAATAACAACATACAAGAATATGGCCCCGTTTCGTGTAGCTTTTAAAACAGCTTATAAATTATAGCTTAACAGATTATAAATTATGACTTTAATCAGAAGTTGTTAATCTGTTTGGTGTAGCTGTTGGATTATAGATTTAAGTTGCTGAGTAGTGTTTGTTAAATAAGCTGCGAAATAGCTTTTTCAATTAGTTTTTATTTTTTGTTTGTCTACATTTCTCATAAAAAATAATAATAATAATCTAGTCCATTTGAGTCTTTTTCTATTTTTAAAAAAATAAAAAATAAAAAAATTTAAGAGTATAACCATAAATTAAAATGTCCACAGCAGAAGCTGATAATCAGAAACAAGGGGTGAGAAGCTTCTCAGAATCAGCTTTTTTGAGTTAAAATAAGCTGTTAGAATCAGAAGCTGTTTGAAATAAGTTTAACCAAACAGTCCAAAATAACTTTTTCAAAGCTAAAAGCCATAAGTTGGCTCTGAAAAGCTAAAACAAACACCCCCTATGTACCACGTGGGTATAACATGTTGAGAACTACATTGCTTCAAAAAGAAAGGATAAACATTAATAGGTTGTTAGACCCTATTCGAGGCACATGGAGAGAGAAGGGTGTGAGTATAGTCAGTGATGGATGGAGTGATTCCCAACGAAGGCCATTAATAAATTTTATGGCTGTTATCGGAGGTGGGCCTATGTTTCTTAAAGCGGCTGATTGTTCAGGGGAAACAAAGGACAAGCCTTTTATTTTCAACTTGATGAAGTAAGTAATCATGGATGTTAGGCCCAAAAATGTGGTTCAAGTCATTACAGATAATGCCCCAAAAGGCAGCAGGGCACCTAATTGTAGCGCAATTTCCTCACATCTTTTGGATTTCTTGTGTTGTGCACACCCTCAATCTAGCCTTGAAGAATATTTGTGCTGCCAAGAATGTGGAAAATAATTCAGTAACATTTGAAGAGTGTAATTGGATTAGTGAGATTGTGGGTGATGTGATGATGATTAAGAATTTTATTTGTAATCATTCCATGAGATTGGCAATGTACAATGACTTTGTGAGTTTGAAGCTTCTTTCAGTTGCCAAGACACGCTTTGCTTCTTCCATTGTCATGCTTAAGAGCGTCAAGTTGATAAAGTAAGGTCTCCAAACAATGGTAATCAGTGACAAATGGAGTTTAGGGATGATCACATTGGTAAGGCCAAGTTTGTGAAGGATATGTTGTTGGATGACTTTTGGTAGGATCAAGTCGACTACATACTTTCCTTTGCTGCTCTTATTTATGACATGATTAGAGTTTGTGACACCGATAGACCTTCTCTTCACTTAGTATACGACATGTGGGATACAATGATAGAAAAAGTGAAGATGGTGATAATAAGCATGAAGGAAAGTGACTAGAAGAAGAGTCTACATTCTATAATGTAGTACATCAGATTCTTGTAGACTGGTGGAACAAGAACAACACACCACTTCATTGCTTAGCACACTCATTGAATCTAAGGTGATTATAACACAATTTACTATTTTTATTAATTTAAGTTTAATATTATTCTTTCACATTTATAATGAGTAGTACATTTTTTTCATTTTAGGTATTATAGTGATGTGTGGCTTCATGAAGATCCAAGCCGAGTTCCCCCACATAGGGATGAGGAGGTCTGCCTTGAGAGAAAAAAAATGTTTGAAAATGTTCTTTGATGATCCAATGGAGCGCACTAGAGCAAATTTGAAGTATGCTCAGTTCTCAACCAAAGGGGGGCCAGTTGCTGACATTGATTCCATTGGAGATAGATGTGATATGGATCCTCATAGTTGGTAGGTTGTTCATGGTACATCTGCACCCACTCTTCAATCTTTGGCTTTATGGCTACTTGTGCAACCTTCTTTTTCGTCATGTGCTGAGAGGAATTGGAGTATAAACTCTTTTATCTATTCAATGAGAAGAAACAAGATAACACCCCAACGTGCAGAGGACTTGGTTTTGTTCATAGCAACCTCCGTCTTTTATCAAGGAGAACCCCACAATACTTTGAAGGAGAGACCAAGTTATGGGATATTGCGGGCGACACATTTGATTTATTTGATGATGTTGGGATGCTTGAGGTTGCAAATCTCTCACTTGATGAACCTGAGATGGAGGTTGGGTTGTTTACAGATGATGGAGGTGCAAATGAAGAAAAAAATGGTGATGCTAATGATGATGAAGACGTGCAAGAAATTAGATCTACTTGAAGCTTTGGAAGGCCAAATCTTTTTTTTTTTCCCCCTTCTTTTGCCTTTTATTTAGTGCTTTTGTGAAGAATATTGTTAGATGTTGAATGTTTTCCCCTTATATCTATTGTTGGATGTTGAATCTTTTGCCTCTCTTATATTTATTAAATTAATGTTACTATGTTAGTATTTGTTAATTTTGATTTAGGATGAATGTAATATAAATCTACATAACACATAAAAATATATATAAAAAAAAATTCGCCGTGTCCATGTTCCCATTTTTTGGAAATTGTCGTGTCCCGTGTCTCGTGTCCGTGTCCATGTCCGTGCTTTATAGCTTACAATCTTTGTCTTTAGCTCATCTTTGTCATGGAATCAAGAAGGAATTGTGAACTTGAACTAGGGTTTTGAGTTTTGTAGTGGCTAGAGCTAAATGTATGAGATTGAACCCTAACCTCTTCATCTTTGTTTGATTTGAGTTCATTCTTGTAATTGATCCATGAAATAAACCCTAGATGATTCATACAACCAAGATTTGTTGGAAAATTTACCATATTTGTATGTATATTGAACTTGTTCATGTAATTTATGATTATGAAAAAGATGGGACCATGACTCTAAAGTTGAAGCAAGATTGACATGTTTGAAGTAAAATTACACTTGTATCATGTTAGTATATCATGTTTTTGGGTTGGTTTTACATGAATTTGGGGTTGGAAATGAGTTTGAGAGATTTTGGCCTTGTTTGGTTTGGCTTTGGGAAAAAGATTTTGGAGAAATTTTTTGAAAATTTTGTTTGGTTTGTAATTTTTCTCAAAAAATTTTCAAAATCACTTTCTTTTTCCTACACATCAATCAATCACTTTTCTCTCTTATTTTCAATCATTTTTTCTCTCACATACATCTACTCAATTACAACAAAATATCAAATCATTCCAAACTTCCAAACTATTTTCAAAATATACAACTAAACAAACTACAAAATTTCTAAACTCTCTTCTCAAAATATTTTTTGAAAACTTATCTCCCAAAGTCAAACCAAACAAGGCCTTCATATTTGTGCATTTTTGCACTGTCTGGTTTTTACCTAGACCGCTCGTGCGACCATGTGCTCCACACGAGCAAAGCATTGAACAAGATTGGTGGATTTGGTTTTGTGCGCACGAGCGGCTTGAACTTCTGCACAAGCGGAGCCAGATCGCTTGAGTGGTGTGGCTAGGCAGGGGAGAAAATCATGCTTTCTTCTCTTGACCTCCCCGACCTCCCGAACGCATTCCCAACCTTATGTAAACCCTCCGGAGTATGAAATGATGATTAGAAACCACTGAAAAGGGTTGTGAATCGCTAAAATAAAAGTGTATATGATATACAAATTATTTATCGAATATGTGTGTGACATGTTTGTTGTAGGTCATGTGCCGAAGGAAACGCCATAAGATCGATCACACTGTGAGTAATAATATCGTACATATATGTTCTTTATTGTGTACCTCTAAGAAGCACGGACACTTCTAAGAAGGTGACGTATCCGTGTCGTGTCCGTGTTGGACACCGACACTCTTTGGACACTCTTAGGATACGTGTCCGATACTCTTCAAAACGTGTCCTATTTTTTAAATATTTTTAAAGACCTGGACACTCTTTGGACACTTGGAGGACACACGTGTCAATTGTTTAAACACATGTGTCTATTGATTATAGATATGTAAAACTAATTATAAGTTTGAACAAAACAACTTAAGATACAATAATAAAACAAAAACCATATAAATTTATAGGAAGTAGTGCTATATTGCATTTTTTATTATCTTTGAATGCTATATTCATATATATAACATATAATAAATATATAAAATTATATATTTCATGCGTGTCCTCCATGTGTCGTGTCCTGCATTTTTTTAAAATTAATGTGTCGGCGTGTCCGTGTCGTATTCGTGTCGTGTCACGTGTCCGTGTCCGTGTCCGTGTCCATGCTTCTTAGGTGTACCTCGAACCATGAATAGTTATTGGTGCTGACATTGTGATTTGATTAAAATGAGAAACTTTATTAATATTATATGACATGTGCAATGTGGACTCGAGACTGTTTTGATATATGTTGGGCCCGAGGTTGTTTTGATAAATGTTGGGCTCGAGGCCATTTTGATATATGTTGGGCCCGAGGCCATTTTGATATATGTTGGGCCCGAGACCGTTTTGATATATGTTGGGCCCGAGACCGTTTTGAAATATGTTGAGCTCGAGGCAGTTTTGATATATGTTGGGCCCGAGGCCATTTTGATAAATGTTGGGCCCAAGGTTGTTTTGAAATATGTTGGGTTCGAGGCCGTTTTGATATATGATTGGGCCTAAGGCCGTTCTACTTATACAATTATGGATATTATGAGAATCTTATGATTATCTATTTACACTGTTTTACTGTATTATTACTTATTGAGCTTTACTCACCCAATATTATGTATGTACATGTAGGTAATCCACAGCATAGAGCACATCCCTAGAGTTAGCTTTAGGAGCTATTCTTCTTGAGACCCAATCGAGTCATGCCTCCGAGATGTTGTTTTGTCTTTGATTCACATCATACCTTGATTTTATTTTGTTTTGCTAATATGGTCTTGGGTTTGTAAACGTTATGCATAAATTTCCTTTGATACTTATATTCTTTTTGTATGGGCATGTAAATGACGTGATTGTGTTACATTTTGCTCATATTGGCATAGCTCAATGGACTCATTCTTTTGTTGTATACTTTTGCTTTTGGCCCCATTACTATTGTTAGAATTTCCCATCTTTACCTTCACCTACTCCACTACACACTCCACTTCACCTAACCCACTATCACCTCCACTACACCTACTACCAGATTTTGGAGAAATTTTTTGAAAATTTTGTTTGGTTTGTAATTTTTCTCAAAAAATTTTCAAAATCACTTTCTTTTTCCTACACATCAATCAATCACTTTTCTCTCTTATTTTCAATCATTTTTTCTCTCACATACATCTACTCAATTACAACAAAATATCAAATCATTCCAAACTTCCAAACTATTTTCAAAATATACAACTAAACAAACTACAAAATTTCTAAACTCTCTTCCCAAAATATTTTTTGAAAACTTATCTCCCAAAGTCAAACCAAACAAGGCCTTCATATTTGTGCATTTTTGCACTGTCTGGTTTTTACCTAGACCGCTCGTGCGGCCACGGGCTCCACACGAGCAAAGCATTGAACAAGATTGGTGGATTTGGTTTTGTGCGCACGAGCGGGTTGAACTTCTGCACGAGCGGAGCCAGATCGCTTGAGCGGTGTGGTTAGGCAGGGGAGAAAATCATGCTCTCTTCTCTTGACCTCCCCGACCTCCCGAACGCATTCCCAACCATATGTAAACCCTCTAGAGTATGAAATGATGATTAGAAACCATTGAAAAGGGTTGTGAATCGCTAAAATAAAAGTGTATATGATATACAAATTATTTATCGAATATGTGTGTGACATGTTTGTTGTAGGTTATGTGCCGAAGGAAACGCCATAAGATCGATCACACTGTGAGTAATAATATCGTACATATATGTTCTTTATTGTGTACCTCGAACCATGAATAGTTATTGGTGCTGACATTGTGATTTGATTAAAATGAGAACTTTATTAATATTATATGACATGTGCAATGTGGACTCGAGACTGTTTTGATATATGTTGGGCCCGAGGTTGTTTTGATAAATGTCGGGCCCGAGGCCGTTTTGATATATGTTTGGCCCGAGACCGTTTTGAAATATGTTGGGCTCGAGACAGTTTTGATATATGTTGGGCCTGAAGCCGTTTTGATAAATGTTGAGCCCAAGGTTGTTTTGAAATATGTTGGGTTCGAGGCCGTTTTGATATATGATTGGGCCTAAGGCCGTTCTACTTATACAATTATGGATATTGTGAGAATCTTATGATTATCTATTTACACTGTTTTACTGTATTATTACTCATTGAGCTTTACTCACCCAATATTATGTATGTACATGTAGGTAATCCACAGCATGGAGCACATCCCTAGAGTTAGCTTTAGGAGCTATTCTTCTTGAGACCCAATCGAGTCATGCCTCCGAGATAGAGTTTTGTCTTTGATTCACATCATACCTTGATTTTATTTTGTTTTGCTAATATGCTCTTGGGTTTGTAAACGTTATGCATAAATTTCCTTTGATACTTATATTCTTTTTGTATGGGCATGTAAATAATGTGATTGTGTTACATTTTGCTCATATTGACATAGCTCAATGGACTCATTCTTTTGTTGTATACTTTTGCTTTTGGCCCCATTACTATAATTACTATGTTTGCTTGAGGCCGAAGGTAATCAAGTGATTACCGGCCGGTTATGCCCTAAACTTTTAGGGTCAGGTTCGAGTTAGGGTTATAACAGTTTGATTATATACAACGGAGACCAATAAAGGTAGTAGTGAAAAAATGCGATACAGCGACGGTATATGGTAATATTAGGGGAAGGGATAGACCTATATTGACGTGGATTAACATAGTAAATAGAGATATGAATCTTCTTAATTTGACTAACGAGAAATAGCCTTGGATAAAGTCGAGTGGAGAAAAAAGATTCATGAAGCCGATCTCATTTGATGACGCTTAAGGCTTGGTTTGGTTATTGTCGAGTTTTGAAGAATGGCACATTTGAACGAAGGCACAAACTATGAAACTGTGACTTTAATATCTTAATAAAAATATATTTTTAGTACTGACCAAAAGCACATTTGGATGCCTCTTGGCAAACAAGATTTCACATAAAAGCATTACGTGCAGGCCCAGCCCTGAATTTTTGGGACCCAAAGCCAATAATGAACTAAATATCACTAGATCATATGGGACCCTTCACATTTTTTTTTATTCAACCAAATTTTTTTTGAAGGTAAATGACAAAAGATTTGTGCCAAAAGAGTTAGGGTTAGGAATTAGATATGGAGAGAGAGTGCGCCCTTTTAATCTTGAATTTTAATTTTTCAATGGGTCAATTTATTTTAAGTTAGTTTGGGCCTTCTTTATTTTTTTTTTGAACTTAAAACATATCTAATATATTAGACTAAACTATAATAGGAGGGGGCCCCCTTTTTTTAGTGTATTTTGAAGGGCCCTAAAGCATGGCCTGGTGGGCCTATGCCCAAGGCCGGGCCTGATTACGTGTACAATTAGCTATTATAGTCATTAGGGAAAATGGTAATCACAATCAGAGAAATAAAGAATACTAGAAATGATAATACTTCATGAAACCACAAAATAATAACATGGTACAATGAATCTACTCCCATGGATAATTCAAACGCAAACCAAATAAATACCACTTACTATGTGTTAACAAAGAAAAAGGAACCAAGGGAAACAAGTGTACTTACATATAAAGGTCCTAGATCCCAGCTATGGGCAACAGGTGCAAATATAAACCACAAAACAATAATGGCCCATGCTTTTAGACTCAGAGAGAAAATTGCTATCAAAAGCATATCTATCAATAACAAGAAGCAACTGTCAGAAAGTACTCTTTTTTTTTTTTCCAAAAAAAAAAAAAAAAATTCTGAAAAGAAAAATAAAAGAAAAGCACAATCATTATCAACCATAAGCTTACCAGGAAGCCTCAGTTTATTATGTAAAAAAGAGTAAAGTGTCCTCTTCCACCCACTTGTTAACTGAGGAAGCTGAAACTTCTAGTATTCAGAAAATAGCCAAAGTTTAGTATCTGCAAATTTGATCGAATCAAAATATCAACTCCGCTAAATGCAATTATTTGTTCAGTTCTAACCAGATCCTCTTCATCATCATCTTCATCCAGCCCATCCTGAATATGTTTAACTGGCGGCTTTGGTTTGACAGCAACAATCAGCGAATCTAAAGGGCACACAAGGAGCCAATGTTAAAAGTCAAACAAAACAATGAACCCAGACAAAAACCTATTGCAGAACCTCAACCACATGTCAAAACCCATACACCAAACCGACCCAACCCAAATTTCACAATTCTACTTAAAAAAAAAAAAAAATCCATCTACCACAACAAGAAGCTACTTTGATGACATGAAACGAACAAATTGAACAGGCATCATTCATACTGTTTTCCTACCAATTACTGCAGCTCATTGGTGTTGGAATGTGTCCCATATCACCTGGAGTTGCCCCATTTGTGTTGTTTACAAGGCTCCAGCTTCCCTCTTCTTAATACTTGAGTTTTAAGGAGAAGTGTGGACTAGGCTTTTCAATTTGGTATTAGAGCTTGGTTGGGCCTGTAATTGGTGTGTCGTTTGTCCAGCTACTGTATGTTGTGGTTCAGGAGAGTGTGTTGGAATGTGTCCCACATCGCCTGGAGTTGCCCCATCTATGCTAGTTATAAAGCTCCAGTTTCCCTCTCCTTAATACTTGGGTTTTAAGGAAAAGTGTGGGTTGGGCTTTTCAATTATTGGTTCAACATATAATTAACACAAATTCTCTTGCATCAATCAGATCAGCCAGTGGCTTTAAAAGGCATCAACCGCAAGGCAGGAACATTTTGGAAGGGGCCTCCTGATAAAGGATGCCCATCTGATTGACCAAAAACCATGAAAAGTGCCTATTACCACTGAAAGCCCCACAATCCCAATCTGCAACTTCATGACTCTTGTAGCATAATTACTATTTTCCAAATGAAACTGGTATTTTTTAAATTGAAACTACTGCGAAGCAAAGGGACTCATGTAGATATGAAGAAAAAGAAGGAAACATGAAAGATGATAACAACCATGACAAACTAGAAGGAGGAGGACTAAGAGAGCAAAAGGATTCACAGAACGGCTGTTAGTTGCAGTCTTGTAGAGTCTGATTGCAGAAGAGGCATACTTAATGCCAAAACCATTGCAAGCAGGAGTGACTTCTAAACTCTAGTTTACTATCCCCTTCTTTTTCTTTTTCTAACTTCTTATGTAGGTCTACAAAGGGCACTCAAAATAATAAATAAATAAATCTGCATTAGAGACCCTTGTTTAATTCTCAGTGTGCCCAACTAGCTAATCTATAAAAAAAAAAACAACGCCCAATTAGTACATATTAATGTGTGTTTGGGAGGGGGAAAGATTAAGTATACACCTAATCTTTGGTATAATGCACAAAGTAGTGGTCTCAAGACTTGAACCCATAACCTCAAGGTTATTAGGCCAAGTCTTAACTAGCTAATCTATCTAGAACTAAAAATAGCCCTTGAAAAGTTCTTCACTTGATCAGCCTAGGATCCATGCTTGAAACTAAATCAAACCAACAAAACAATGTTCTAGTAGTTTGGTTCTCAATTCAACCTAGAAGCCATGTAAACTACACCCCTTGCTAACATCAACTAATTTTTAGGAAATTATGCAAATTATTTCTGTTGAAGTAAAACAATATAGCAAAGCTGCAAAGCACATGTCATTTCCTTACAAAATACACAGGCATCCATTCTAGAATAATATATCACAAGAGTAAAGCCTCGTTTCGGAACATGCTATTTTAGTTACTTTTTGGCTTTTTACGAAAAGATGTGCAGAAAAGTAAAGAGAGTGATGTAACAACTTACAGTGACTTTTTGACTTTTTGGCTAAAATGGTTACACCCTAAACTAGGCCTAATTCAATGAAGAAAAAAAAATCTATACCTTCATTATTTAGTTGGATGAATTCATCGAAACCATTTTTGTTGTCATGCAACACATTCCCTTGCAAAATAAGCCTCAAATTCTCAATAGGTAAATGAGCCTTCCCAGCAATCAATTTTCTCAGATCCTGCACCTGATTATCATAGAAGACAATAGAAGCCCATCATGGGGTTTTATAAGAGAAAGCATCCTTCTTAACACAACTATCACCAAACTTAATTTTAACTGATTACAAAAATTGGTTGAAAAACAGATTTATGTGTGTGTGTCTAGTTTAATTAGCTATATCACACATTTTAAATAAAAAGGGTCTCTCCAAAAGTGAAGGTAAGGCTTGTGTGCGTCTTACCATCCTTAGATCCCGCATTGGCGGGAGCACCGTGCATTGGGACACCTTATTTTATATGTTTTAAATAGATATAAGAAAATTAGCTGATCATAACAAGTAGTAACTTTCTGACAAGGTGAGCTCTCAGCTTTTCTAGGCCACAACAGCAGAGGTGCTGTAGCATCATTTAACAATATTGGAAAACGAATCTGGGAGAACCAGGAAAAGAGAAACCAAAGCAATAACACTGAACAAAAAAATTGGCGATTGGCAAAGGAAATCACTGGCTTCTTCAGTTTCGTCCATGTTTTGTTATTAAGATAGAAAAATCTTATCCAATCTCTGTTTGTGTGCAGTAGTGCCTCTTTTACAAGCCTGTTATCTACATGGAGTGGAACTTCATTTTAAATTTGTTTTTGCATATAAATGAGATATGAGTTTCTTGACAACAGAAGATGAGAGTTGATTTCAGTACAAGTCAGGCTTGACAGTAAATTCAAGTCAAAGCAGCGAAAAATTTTAGGCAACTTCTTTTCCATTTTATGCAGCCATGGCCTAAAACTCAACTCTACTAAGCAGAGAGGTGTGCAGAGGGACAACAGTCATCCAGTGTGCCGGAACCAGTTGGATAATGTCGATCAGGGTAATTGCGCTCCTTGAAGAGTTGGCCGGTTCATGATTATTACAATGTGAAATGCAATTGTTCTCTGAATATTTTTTTGGGTAAGTTTTCTAAAACAATATTTGTAATGGATAACCATCTCTATATAATTAGTGTGGGTGTTTTCGAATTTTAATTTAGTATCTTCCGGAATCCTCTTCCACCTATTGTTCAGAAATTTATCATGTCAATACCAAGGAGTTCCACCATCCATTGGACTTGAAAACAATCTCCAAAACCTAGTCATCATGCTTAATTCAACTCTTGGTTCATTTGTAAAGTTTGTATATTCATTTCAATTACCCTCACAAGAGGTGATCTTAGTTCATAATTTTAACTAATATATGGTCTCCAAAACCAACCAAGTCTTATAGGAAAACAATTTACAAACTAAAACCTTAACCAAATCCAACCAAACCAAGAATTAAATCCTTTTTGATCATTCCACTTTGTCAACAACTATATGTTTATTTAAATCAAATAAATTTATAATCTTTTCACTATCTTATCCTATATCTCCCAAACCTATCACCAAAATTAACAAAAACAATCCGTATAATTATAGGGTTTAAAAAAAAAAAAAAAAAGATTTCAAATCCAATTTTGAGACATGTACAGGGTTGCAAGTAAATTCAAAGAGTAACTTAGCCAAGATCACAAACACAGAAATTTATATATATATACATACTTTGATGAGAGAGGGGACATTGAGGAGAGAGGGAGGAGAAGGACCGATGGTTTTGAGAGAGATTTGAACCATTGTCCTGTCTTCTCCATTGCCGCCATGATTCTTCTCGATCTCAACCATGGCGTCGTGGCTTGAAGATCTTTCAGCGACACAGATTTTCCAGCAATGGCGTTCCAACTTCCTCAAACCCTCTCTTCTCGGGGACAGGGCGTGTGTTTTGTTCTCTCTTTGATCCCCAAGGGTCGTTTGGAGAGAATTTTTTAACTTCCATTTTTTAAGTTACGCTAATTTAAAAAAAAATCAAAAAAATTAAAAATTTATTATTTTATTTAAGTCATATTATTTTATTTAAGTTACATTATTTTTCTACCACGTCACTTTAAACCCAACTCATATTTCATAAAAAAAATAAAAAAATATACTTATTTAGATTATCCTAAATAACCATTTAGTTTCGTTTTTTTGATTTTTAATTTTTTAAAATAATAACTAAAATTTAAATATGACATTTTATATTATTAATTTATTTAGAAATTATTTGACATTGCAGTAAATAAGAACATTTTTTTATTTTTTTAATCACATCATTTTTTTAATTTTATATATATATATATATATTTTTATAAAAAATTAAAAAATATTCTTATTTAAATTATTCCTAACATCACCGTAATCTTATGACATATTCTTACGTCCAAATAAAAATTTGATAAAGAAAAATACTTGGGAGCACTAATTAGTGCTCCCACTAATTAGGTGACAGTGGATTCCGTAATTAATGGTGTGATATTTTGGTTTTGAAATTATATTTTTTTTTTTTTTACTTTTTTAATATATTAATATTATTAATAGTGATATTTTTAGGGATGAATCATTGTTATTTGATAAATACCACGGATTGATAATCCAATCTACCACTCCCAGACATCAAATCAAACATAACCTTGTAGTTTCTGAGTTGTTTTTCATTTTTATGGGGTAGGTATGACTGACTGGCGGCATTGAAGTGACAAACTGGCACATGTTTTGAGGACCATAAAAAACAACACTCCTCCAATACTATGCCCACCACCACACAAGGACCGATGGTTTTGAGAGAGATTTGTAATAGGACTTAACAAATCAATAAAAAAAAAAACTTGGAACTAATTGAATTACGTGTTTGTGAGATAAGATTTATTGATAAATATCCTAATAATGAAATGCTAACAAGTGCCGTGAAATACTTGTTAGCATTAAAAATCGTGTGTTTTGTTCTCTCTTTGATCCCCAAGGGTCGTTTGGAGAGAATTTTTTAACTTCCATTTTTTAAGTTACGCTAATTTAAAAAAAATCAAAAAAAAAAAAAGGTTAAAAATTCATTATTTTATTTAAGTCATATTATTTTATTTAAGTTACATTATCTCTCTATCACGTCACTTTAAATCCAACTCATATCTCATAAAAAATAAAAAAATATACTTATTTAGATTATCCTAAATCACCATTTAGTTTCGTTTTTTTGATTTTTAATTTTTTAAAATAATAACTAAAATTTAAATATGACATTTTATATTATTAATTTATTTAGAAATTATTTGACATTGCAGTAAATAAGAACATTTTTTTATTTTTTTAATCACATCATTTTTTTAATTTTATATATATATATATATATTTTTATAAAAAATTAGTTTCAACTTAAACTCAACTCATTTGTAAACAAGGACAATGTCGACACGGTTGTGGATTCTAAACTGAACCGGGGTGTCCAAGATCTGGGCTCTTTGGTTTAACATTGCTGGGCCTTAAGCGGCCTATTATTATTCAGTGTTCCCGGGGTGTCCAAGATCTGGGCTCTTTGGTTTAACATTGCTGGGCCTTAAGCGGCCTATTATTATTCAGTGTTCTAGTATATGTAAGTCCTTGTTATAGGCCCACTTAAAAAGAAAAAAAAAATCACATTTAAAATTAAAATAAGGAGACAAAAAAATAAAAAAAAAAATTCGTGCCATTGAGATGAGGACTCAAGCTCAAGTCAATAAACTTTACCCGCATTAAAAAAAAAGAGAAAATTATATAAAAAAAATTCATAGTTTGACACTTAACAAAATAAATATTTAATTTTAAATTTTGTCAATTTAAATCTTAAATTTTTGATTTTTTTTCCAATCTAAATCATTTATATGTTTTTGTTAAGTAAAATTAATAGAAAAATAAATATTTGAATCATTATACTCAATAAAAAATGATATTTTAGATATTTTATGTATGTCTATTGAGTTTTATAATTAAAATGCTAATTTTTTTTTATCAATTTTACTTGACAAAAATAGCTTAATGGTTTAAATTGAAAACAAATTAAAAGATTAAGATTTAGATTGACAAAATTAAAAACTCGAAATTTATGTTGTTAAGAGACTTTTAAACTTTGAGATTTATTTTGTAATTGTTAAAAAAAAAAAAAAAGGGCAACAAACTCAATCTTAAGTTTGAAGCAGTTAAAATGTGATAAAATTATTTTTATTTTTTCTTCCACTATCTCACTATTTCATTCTTCGCTTTAAAATATTAATTTAAGTAATACTTAAATTAAATTTAATTCACATATTTTAAATTTATAATAATCTATTAAATAGCTTTATTTCTAAATACATATATAGCATGTTATTCAAATAATGTGGACTAAAAATGTTGCATTTTCCATGACTTCATATAAGGATAACAAAGAATTATCACTTGATAACAAGATAAATACATACATAAATTTCCTACTATGGGCTTGGGAGTGAGGGTCCTAAACTCCTAGGATGAGGCTTTCATTGACCACCATTCATCCAAGATAAAACCAGCAAAATATATGGAGCCTCCCCTTTCTCTTTGAGCAAACAACAGAGATAGGGAAGCAAGTAAAATTAAAGGAGATACTAGTACTATGGCACTGAGAATGTGGGCTTCTTCCACAGCTAATGCACTTAGACTCTCTTCTGCTTCCAAATCTCATCTCTCTCCTGCCTTCTCTCTCTCTAGATGCTTCTCTACTGGTACTCTCTCTCTCTCTCTCTCTTCATATTTTCTGGGTTTTTCTTTTTCTTTTTCTTTTTTTCTTTATATATATACGAAATTGTGTGAATTTTTTGCAGTTCTAGAAGGGTTGAAGTATGCAACTTCACATGAATGGGTGAAGGTTGAAGGCCCTGTGGCTACTATTGGCATCACTGACCATGCTCAGGTTACTTCTTTTATCTTTCCTACTCCCATTTTCAATTTTTTATTATTGTTATTTTATTTCTTAAAGCAATTCAGTACCTTTATTGCACACTGCCATGACTGTTACAATGTTCATTGGAATACTGAGCCAATTGGGGTGTAGCTTCATTGGTAAACAAAGCCCCTAAATTAACCATTCATGTGAATATGCGTACTTCCAACCCAAATCTCTATAGATTAGTGATAAAATACTTTCTAAAGTGATTAGTATAATGAAGTGTTATATGAAATTATGTTGGAATCACAAACTAGATAGCTATTTTTATGACGTTCGGTAATTTTATCTTTTTTGGGTTAGTAAATGATTTTTTGACTAATTTCAAACTTGCCAACTCAATTTTTAAAATTTGGGTTGGGTCATGTTGACTAGTGCTCACGTATATTTAGCCTCCGTTTGGAAAGTGGGTTGACTTTTTGACTTTTTGGCTATTTTAGCCTGGTTTGGGAAGGGCTTTTTGGCTTTTTGACTTTTTTGGCTTTTTTTGTAAGAGAGGATTGTAATGATTATGGGTTGGATTTGATGTTTTGTTTTTTGTGGCTAAAATAGCCTATTTTGTTTTTTGTGGCTATTTTAGCCAAAAAAACCTGGGCTTTTTCTTGCCAAACGGAGGCTAGTGCTTCATTTCAGATGTACCGCCTAATTTCCGGGCACAAGCATGTGAGTTGATAAAGTTCATATTTGTGACTCAACATACCACTTGTGTAAGATTGTGGGATTCAAGAATTTTTATTTTTATTTTTGTTGTTGACCAATAATAACTCGACTTAGACAAAATTTTTTGGACTTACCTTGAGACTAGATGAGAGTTGAACCTTAGGCCTCTTAAACAAGGAACCTCAGCAACTAACCATCCAAACTAACCCTGTTTAATGGTTATCAGTTTATGTGAATTGTGTTTTTCATTTTGTGTGTTAGATCTCAAATTGTTTCATTCAAATTTTACATTTTATTTATTTATTTTATTTTCTTAACAGGGCCATCTTGGAGAAGTGGTGTTTGTGGAGGTGCCAGATGCTGGTGGCTCCGTCACACAGGGCAGTAGCTTCGGTGCGGTGGAAAGTGTAAAAGCCACAAGTGATGTTAATTCCCCAATTTCTGGCCAGGTCGTCGAGGTTAACACAAAGCTCTCTGAATCCCCTGGTTTGGTAATTCTACTCTCCTTTTCCCCAATTATTTTTTCCCTCTACATAGGGGTGTAATTGTGGCCCAGGCCGGGCTGGGTTTATGTTGGGCCTTGCAGGCTTTCACCAAAAATTGGGATTGTCCAAGGGTTAGAAAATTAGGCTCACGCCCAGGGGTATTTGGGCTTTGGACAGGCCACTGGGTCAGGCCGTTGGGCTTGGACTTGGGCTCGGGCTTTGGGCAGGCTTGGACGGGCCTAAACAATTTTTTATATTTTTTCCATCAAAATTTTATTCAATGTGTTTGGTTTGAATTTTTTGGATTAAGTTTTTTGAAAATTAAGTTTTTTGATTTTCGTGGTTTTTTATTTTTAGTGAATATTTTTAAAATTTTAAACATTTTTTTTTACTTTTTTAGATGCACCTTACTTAGATATATCTAAAAAGTAAAAAATTTGTGAAAAAATATTTTAAAAAATTAATAAATGCATAAAAATACAAAAAATGCACTGAATTCTCATATTTTTTTTGTATTTTTGATATTTAGTGAATTTTTAAAAGGTTTTTTTTCACAAATTTTTTACTTTTTTAGATTTATTTATGTTAGGTATGTCTAAAAAGTAAAAAAAATTTCTTAAAATATTAAAAAATTCAGTAAAAATAAAAAAAAAACACGAAAAACAAGAAAGTAGAGTTTTTTGAAAAGTGTTTTTGGAAAAATGGAATCAAGCAAAGTGATTATTTTTCATTAAAAATAACACTGGGCCTCGGGCAGGCCGGACTTTTAAGTAGGCCTTGAGCGGGCCGATGAGCTGAGCTGGGCTTCAAAACTATGGTCAATGCCGAGACCTAAGGCCTCGGGCAGGGTTTGGGCCCGGGCTTAAATGAGCTGGGCCCACCCGGGCCTCCCACATGCCACGGGCCATTTTTACACTCCTACCTCTACATGTCCTCTTTAGTCAATTCAAACTACAGTGCAACTCGGACAGATTCGATTGAGTTGAGAGAGGTTGCCTAGCCAAGTCCAAGTTGCACTAAGAGCCGTCCAAACTCCCAACTTGCAACTCAAATTTGTTTTGCCAAGCTCAATTTGAGAAGTTGTACAGGCTAAGCCTAAGTTATTCTTAGAGTTATCCAAGCCGGACTTACTACTCAAACTTATCTGCCCAAGCCCATGCCCAAACCCAATCTCAACAGAATCTAATATATTTGTGTTATTGATGTTAAAATTATTGGTTCCTAACATGGGTCACATTTTGTAATTATGAAGATCAATGCAAGCCCATATGAAGAAGGATGGATGATCAAAGTGAAGCCAAGCAACCCATCAGAGTTAGAATCCTTGATGGGTCCAAAAGAATACACCAAATTCTGTCAAGAAGAAGATGCTGCCCATTAGCATTTGATTATTGTGCTCGTCTCTTTCTCTTGCATTCCTCTTTGGACTCGGATATTACAGAACTGCAACATTTCTACTCTTTAAAATTAAATTTTCTTCTATATTTTCTTTTACTTTCTCACTTCTTCTTCTTCTTATTCATGTGATTAAGTTCTTCTGCTCCTCCTTTCACTTTTCATGTGATTTACATTTAGAATTTATACTTTTCCAAGTAATTTTTGCATATGGATAAGGTACTATTAATGTGGTATCTTTCGTTTTTGTAATTGCCTTAAACAATGACATCCATTATATTTATGATGGTGTTTGAGAGATGATATGAGATAATAGTTAAGGAGGGTACCATAAGTCTAAGGATTTAAAATAATGAAGGAATTATCAAAAATTATAATTCATATTACTTAAAAATTAAGAATTGTTTCTTTCAAGTCATCCAGTCAAATGACCCTTCTCACAAGGGGTAGGGTCCTCCAACAGATCCCACATTATGTGAAATTTAAATATTAAATTTTAAACAAATTATATTTAAGTTACAATTGAAATGTATCATCGTCATCTCACTATCGTCACTACCATGACTAGTATCATCACATTACTACCGTCATTATCTTGATTCCATGATCATCATTATCACACCACAACCACAATTCAAAGAACTCCATCACCTTGATCATAAGGTAAAATTATTTCACTTTTTTAAGCTCAAAGATCTGTGCACAGAATTGGTTCACAAAAAAATAATCAAAAAAAGAATGAATGATGCAAATTCAACCTGTGTGAGTGAATTTCCAACCACACTGTCAACTCAGTATTTAGCTGGAGAGCACTGACAGAATAGATGGCGCCTGAATTGAATGACTTGTAACGGAAAGAGAAGATTCTGGCAGTGATTCATCCATCCGGGGGCATTCCGACGATCAAGTCAGTAAAGTATCTCTCAAAGACAATCAATAGTGCTTAACTCTGTTTAGAATATAAATTGCGTACCTTAGATCCATGGGGGTGCCTCTCTTTTATAGTTAATTCAATCCTAGTCCCAATAGAAGCTTTGCTTGAATGGACTTTTAGCTCAGTACTTATCATGGACTTTTCAATAAATAAAGATAAACTCCCTAAGAGCTTCATCCTTATCCAGGCTGAAGTCCTTCCTCATTCTAGAACTCTTATCCCTTATCCGCTTATCTCGGATTCCGATATCTTCGGAGATAACCTCGGCCTAGCCGAGATTACCTCGGCGTCGTGACCAGGACACGTGGCACCTCGGCTGACACGTCGGCGTCACCTTGGCCACGTACTGGTATTCAGAAAATATATCCCCACACAACCCATGTATTATAGGACTCATATCTAGAATAAATCTTAATCACACAACAAATATTCTTTATATTTTTTGTATACCAATTATTTGTATTGCATCATTGCTCTTTTATGCTGTATTTAGTTTATGAACTTGGATAAATTTTAAAAAAATGAACATGAAAGTGTGTTAAAAGTATGTGAATACTTTTCTTTTTTTCTTTTTAAATCTCTCATAAAATCCATAAACCAAACACTGTCTTAATCCACATGTGATGGCAGGTGTGATTTCTTGTTCTTACTCAATTTTTGCAATTGTATTTATTTATTTATTTTTTGGGGGTCATTAATGCATTAAGTTACTTCCATACATTATTCGATAAAATAACAGAGCCAAACATGGGCTTGTTGATTTGAATACCCAAAACAGAAGATTTTCAAAAGCCAGCCCATGATACGCACTAAATGGTCTGGACTGAGACACTGGATTGTTGGGCCTAAATGGCAATTTGTACTTTGTAGCATGGTTTGTTTGTACTATACTTTTTATTTATTTATTTAATTTTTTTTTTAAAGGAACCTTTGTAAGAAAAGGATTCTGAAATTTTAAATTTGATCGAATTTATATCTATACTATTATATTATATAAAGCCTACAACTAAGTCGACCAAGCTTTGTAACCCTTTTTTTTTTTTCAAAAATACCCACACAAGCATAATTATATAAGAACAATCAGTGACAGAGGGAGCATCGGACCAGGGGGTCACGTGCCCCTGAATTTTGGGGTTTTTTTTTTTTTTTTTTTTTTTTTTTGTTAGTTGTAAATATAGAGAAAATATTTTAAATAAAAAATCATAAAAATATTATTAGAGTAAAATGTCACTGACATTTTAAAAATTATGAGAACAATAATAGTTATTTTGATTAAAAATGAAGAGATTACTATAAATAAACCATATTAGCTATGAAATATTTTTAATGTAACATCGATGTCATTATTAGTGATATGGATATGGAAGTACAAAAAATCTCACTATAAAGATATGAAATTTATTGGATTATTAGTTACATTTGACATATGTGGTTTACTTTTTATATGTTTATTTACCATTAGTGGATGATATCACATACCAATGCTGACGTGGTATTATCATTATATTGAATTTTTAATCAAATTTTGTATCAAAAAATAATTTATCATTATATAATTTATTTTAAGACTTATATCCATTTTTTTTTTTGGTATTGTCCATGATACACTAGTAACAAATAACATTCGACTTGTTTGTTTTTAGTTTTCAGAAAATTCTACTTTTTTTATTTTTTGTATTTTAATGTTTTGAATGATTTTTTTTAATATTTTAAGTATTTTTTTTAATTTTTAGACACACCTAACATAAATACACTTAAAAGTATAATATTTGTGAAAAAAAATATTTAAAAAATATATTAAATACCAAAAAATACAAAAAAAATACGAAAATTCAATACATTTTTTTTATATATTTTTGTGTATTTATTAATTTTTTAAAATATTTTTCACAAATATTTTATTATTTAAAGGAGATTTTTTTTTTAAGGTCCCTAATAATAACAATTTAGAGGATAAAGGACACACAAAAAAATAGTGATACCTCACGTCCCTGAAACAACTTGGCGCGCGTTTTTAATTATTTTGTGGACCAAAATACCCTCGCCAAAATCAACACAGAACCAAACTCATTCCGACGTCTCAGTTACATTCCAAACATCCAGCATCTTCACGAACAGGAGAACAGCAGAATTAGGGTTTCAACATCATCTGCACCATCGACATTACAGCTTCGTTATCCTCTCCAAAAATCATTCCCATTCCTTCCTCACAAATTTCTCTGACCTACGTTAAAGCTTCGTTTTCACGGCTCATCATCATCTCAGTCCATCTTCGTCACGTCGCATCTTCATCGCGGACCATATCAGCTCATCATTCAAGTTTCATCCTAACTCTGGTCAGTTTTTCTACAATACAACTAGATTTTCTCTGGAAACACAGTTAATAGCATTTTATAATAACCTTTCATAAATTAGGGTTTCAATTTCGTAATAAAAAGCTACCTGAATTTGAAAAAATTTATTTCTGTGTATTTTGAACTTATTCTTCAACATGTTTTTGTGATTTTATCTGTAAATTTCTCTGGCATTTGAATTTCTCTGATTTTTTATTAATGTAATTTTCTTCTTTCAATTTTCTCTGGCATATTTATTTTCACAACAATTTTTTGTGTTTTTATCTTATTCTTGAACATGTTTCTGTAATTCTGTCTATAAATTTTCCTGCTCCGTAAATTTCTCTGTAATATGTATTTTTAATTGCAATGTCTATCTTAATCTAGAATGTCTATTGCTTTCTTGCCTCTGTCTTAAGTTTCTCTGGTATTTATAATTTTCTCTAACCACATCACATCACTTTCCTCCCTTGTGTCTTTGTCATTTTAAATTTTCTCTGGAATTTTAATATTGTGGACTGGAATGAATGTTTCTTCTTGGAATTTTCTCTGCCATATGTACTTTGAGAAAAAGTTATTTCTCTGAATTTTGATCTTATTCTTGAACATGTTTATGTCATTTTGTCTCTGAATTTCTCTGCTTTGTAAATTTCTCTGGAATATGTATCCTTCTCTGCAATGTCAATTACACTCTTGCCCCTGTCTAAGTTTCTCTGGTATTTATAATTTTCTCTGACCACAGCGCACCACTTTCCTTCCTTGAGTGTCTCTATCATGGTTAATTTTCTCTGCTTGTGTATGTAAATTTTTCTTGCATTTTAATATTATGAATTGAAATTTTCTCTGGAATAAAAATTTCTTCAAGAATGTGTAATTTTCTCCGGAATGTGTATTTTTTTCTGGTATGTTTATTTTGTTCAATTCTTGATTTCAATATGGTGTACTTCTCAGTGCCATGTTTACATTACTTTGTTTATTTTATCTTTGCTAATTGTGGAATGCAAATTTTCTTTCACTTGCCATGTTTACTTTTTTCTATCATTCATTTTCTCTGGTATGTTTACTTCTATCTGTAATTTAAACAATTATTGAAAATTTCTCTCCCATGTTTATGATGCTGTGTTGATTTTCTCTGACATGCCAAATTTTCTGTAATTTTCCCTTATCTGTAATTTTCTCTGGCATCTCCAATTTTCTCCATTATCTGTAATTTTCTCTGACATGTCCATTTTTCTCTGGGATTTAATGTTGACATCTCTATGCTTTAATCATTGTCTAGAAATGGCAAAACGTAAAGGCAGCAAAACACCGGAAACACCAAGCAAAAAACAGAAACTGTCTCAGTCTTCTTATGGACTAGGATCAAAAACCAGCAGCAAAACACTAAA